CACACACACACACACACACACACACACACACACACACACACACACACGTAAGGTCTACAGGAAGAGACAGGAAACTACTAACACCAACGGGGAAGAAAGAAATCACGAACTCACAGAAAGGTCTTGTTTCAAGTTGCCCAATGAGACTCCATGAAGCCAGATTCATACTCAAGTGTTGAATATTAATATTTGCACGCAAAGAGGAAGGTGTGACCGTCCTACAGGCAACTTGGAACGAGACCCGACGGTCAGCACAGAAGCAAGAGGCCACCAGTGTCACCGGCCAATCAGGGAAGACTAACCGTGGGAGGTGTGGCTGCCAAATTCTCCATCTCTTCATGTGTGAGCCACACGTTTCCTGTGGTCTGATCATTTGACAAACCCCCCAAATCACAAGTGAGAGAAGTGAGTGAGGAGTGATGGTGGAGGACAGGAAGAGAGAAGATCAAGAAAAAGGTTTCATCACTGTTAGAGAAAGAATTAAACCGGAATCATAGTTTGATCCCATCGTTAGTTCATGTTAAGCTGTTAAAATGCATTAAAAGTGCTGAGTCAGACGACAAGAATGAGCAGACAGAGAGCTTAAAGGCATCTTCAAGACTTCTGCAAAGTTTCTTAATATTATCAGTAATTTAAGATGCGTGTCGTCATCGACATGTTAGCCCGTCAGTACCGTTCTGGAGGTGGGTGGAGCCGACGGGCTGGTGAGCGACATGATCTCCTGGATGGCGAGGCGGAGCTTCAGGCGGTGCAGCGGGTTGCTGATGCCGATCTCTCTCTGGATCTCTGTGTCCGACAGCGCAGACATGATGGCCCCGCTCTTCACGTTGGCACGGCACGCAGCCACGTACCAGGCCGGCATGCCCACCCACAGCTGGGGGGGTAAGAGGTAAGAGACAGTGCCGTAAGTTCACCTGTCCGTTACACCACTATTCTAAATGGTTGTCAGATCTATCGAGTCCGTGTCGTACCTCCAGCCAAACCACGACCGTCGGTCCGTCCCACTGGGCGAATGGCAGGCCCTGCATGCGAGCCTCCTCCAGTAACTCATGCCTGAGACACAAAAGAAATGTTAAAGCCAATATGCTAAATACATGCACACAAAGCCATCATAAAAACACCAATATGCACTCCATCAAATCCACCTTTGGAACACAGGAGCACACAACCCCAGAGACATCACCGACATGCATCCTCAGAACGCAGAGCAGGAGTTTGAGAGAAAACAAAGCAGTTGAAACCCAGAAAGACTCAAACACACATCTGGAGAACCTTCGTCAGGGCCTCTACTCTCCAGGTTTAACCAGATAGGTCTTCAGTTGGGCCTCCGGGAGGCGACTGGATTCAGGACCGAGTCTACGTGGAGGAGCACGAAAGTACGGATGCATTCCTCTACGACTGTAGGGACATCACATGCAGAGAGGAAGCGTTCTACTCTGTACGTCCAGTTCATGCACACTCATGTTCAGCAGAGAATGATGTTCTGATTCAGCTTCTCTCAGAGGTCTGTTCAATTCACTAAACACAGCAACAGGTCCCAACTGATGCTACCAGATGGAGAGAGAGGTTGTACTTGCACCACTAGATGGAGCCGTGTGCCACCCATCAAACATGAAGAACTAACAGCCTCTGATTGGCCGATCTGCCGAAAAAGATTGAGGAAACTCTCTCATCAGTCTTGGATTACGGTGACATGTTAAACGTGGATGCTTCAGCTGAGACTCTGAAGATGAATTACTGGCGATGACGACGTCGCAGGAGACGTCTGTTTTCAGTGAGCTTAGAAAACCTGTGACGTGCAAAACAATCTAAAGCTTATTATTACAATTAAAATTCTCTATTTCACCTCCAGTGGATCTCGTTTCAGTTCATTCATTTGCTTTGATTGTTAATTACTTTATTTATTCTCAATCTTTCCCAGAGTAGCAACTTCATGCACCAACAGGAAAACAGAGAGGAAATGTGTCACTCACTAAAAAGCAGCACACACACACACACACACACACACACACACACTCTCCTGTTAGTTAGGCTCCTCTGTGGAGAGCAAGGTAAAGAGCAGCATGGAAAAGCCATCAGGCAGTCAGAGGGACGAGCTGTTGGGGGTCCTCGGAGTTACTGGTGAGGTCAACGTGAAGCCAAGAGAGGAAAGAAGATAAAAGGCAAAAGCAACGTGAACCAACTTACCCCGTCTTTGGACTACACATGGAATGAGAAGGGGATGATACAAAAAGAAGAAGAAGAGGGAGGTTGACAAAACAATAAAAGAGAAAGAATGAACTAATTTAAGAGCTGCATGGGAGAAACAAACAAAACATTTATTGAGGGGAAATAAAACAGCTGTGGGAGATAACTGATGGAAGTGGGTGTGTCGTGGAAAGTGGATGAGCTGAGTGAGCGTGAGGCGGTGGCAGCGAGTGAGGATGTGAACACTGAACACTGGTGAGGACCACGGGACTCACGGTCTGGAGTAACGCATCAGCAACTAAATAAAGGAGCAACGGATCAGCAACTAAATAAAGGAGCAACGGATCAGCAACTAAATAAAGGAGCAACGAGAACTGCTACAGATGACCGATCAGGATTCTTTATTTTCATCTATAGTTATTTGATAACAATACAAATGATAAGGAAATAAGACAGTTTTTATTGATAAAAATAATTAATTAGTATTTTTAATGATGTATTATGATTATTTGTTTTCATCTCCGTCACAAAAATGATTTCACTGCTCTGAAAAAGTTCTAAATGTTATACTTTTATTTCGTTAAAGTAATTTACGCTGCAAACAATTCAAACTAATGAAATAGAAGATTGTGTTTTTATTGATAAATAAATCTCTTCATTATTATTATTAATGAAGTATAATAATGAGCTTAGAGCTCGTGTTATGAAGTCAAACAGCTCATAGTTCATCTCTAATATCTATTTATATTCATGTGAAAACATCTCCTTCAAACTACTGGATTTATTCTAGTTTATCACCAAAACTACATTTTACAGATGACATCAACATCAGACTGGTGACTACAAAGCATCAATGTCGAGCTTCAGGTCTCATATATTTACTGAATATTGGCCGATGACGATCGGCCAATATAACGTTTTATTAATAAAAGGGTCACATGACTCTCTGGTAATTTTCTATAAAACCTGACTCATATTGTTGACCGGTTAATCCCGACATCCCTAATTGCAATATTAAGAGTTTATATAATAAAAGATTGATATATGGCGTTTGTGTGTCGATACAATATGGCGATACTGTGCCGTATTGATTCCCCACCCCTAATCTGCAGTGAAGCAACAGCCATACTGTGTGTGCTTTGAGTGTACTTCTATTATTGCAGAGTTGATGCTTACCGTTGTGTGTTAACAAGAGTAGGTCCTGACTGTGGCAGTGTCCAGCCTCTGTATAGACTGACTTCCTGTGTTTCCATGTTGGCAGAATCACATGCAAAGGACATGCCGTTAGTCACAGCACAATAAAACAAACGGCACAGCAGCAAAGCCATTTGAGAAGAGTCGAGTACACGAGAAGTTCTACTTGAGTCAGTAGCAGCCATGACAGAGCATATCACACACACACATGCACACACTTCTGGCTCCGCTTACCTTCCATCGGGCTCCTCTTTGGCTGCATGGAGGGAGACCCCCCGCCGCTACCGGTCACTCGGAAGTTGGCGGGCAGAGTGTCGGACGCACCCAAGGACATCCCCCGCATGTCTTTTGGCCTGAACTTCTTCCTCCATGAGGGAGCTCGCCGGAAGTTCTTATCATCGTCGTCCTGAGAGCGAGAGCGAGAGAGAGGCGTGTTAAATAATATGATTCATCACTCAGTTTGTGTTGCTGTGTTGGAGAGTGCGTTTGTGTTCGTCACCTCTTCCATTCTCCTGTCTGTGCCGATGGCCAGCAGGCTGTTGTATTCACGCTCCAGAGTCGCTCTGGCCTACGAGAGAGAGGCGAGAGGAGGAAGAGTCGACCGTTAATGAATTCACCCGTTGAACTCTGAATGAATTCTAGGGCTGAACGACTGTCTGAAGATTGGCAGGAATGCTTTTAGTAGCCGATCCCTGATGATGCTACATAGTGAAGAACAGAGCAGTGATGAACTCAGCAGGAGGGCTAATTATAAAACTGAATATTCTGGCTCTACAGGTGATTTCCCCCCCCCCCCCCCCAACATCTTTTCCCCAACAACGCTCTGAATTAAGGTTTATTTTGACTCAACCCGTGTTGTTGTATGTCGAAAAAGTAGAAAGATGAACCAAGGTGGTTTTTATTTTGTTTCTGTCGGGTTTGAATTAAGTGTGTTTCACAACGTGGTAAAATTGTTTTTGTCAATGGAGTCTTGTGTATTTGGCAAGATCGATATAGCTGCTGTATCTGGTTACATAAAAATGATTTTACTCTTTAACAAAAAGGTCTCTCAGTAGGAACCCTTAATTACAATCATTACAATACATTCAGTAAACCTTCAGTACCTAGCATAGCATAGAAGGTATGCTAACATACTCTGCTAATGTTAGCGCCACAGGTTTTTCGGTAGAAACGTAACGTTTTGTAGACGTAGTGTATTTCTCCTTCCAACCTCTCCAGGTAACGAGTATCACGATCACATAACGTTTAACCACGACGAGCTCCAAACCCACTAAAGCAGCCAGAACATGAAGAACATCTGGAACCACTGATGAGTCTTCAGTCACATGATGTTGAAAGCTGCAGCATGTGTGTGGACCAGCTGACGGGCGGCGCGTACCTGTGTGTTCTGCGTGGGGATCTGCAGCAGTAGAGCCAAAGCGTTGTGGTCGAAGGTCTCGTCCAGGCCCAGCAGCGCCCCGTGGACTCCGCTCTCGCAGAGGTTGCTGCTGTACTCCTTCAGCCCGATGGCCTGAATCCAGCCGATCACACGCTCATTACTCCACACCAGCACCTCTGAAGAGACGAGCACAGCGCGAGAGCTTCACTGACCACGTATAACATCGTGTCTCATAGTGTCATTTAAAGGGACAAAGACGGAGTGATGTGACGGATTAATGACACATGAATCATCAGAGGAAAATTAAGTTATAACGTCCTCCTTGCTCCTCCTCCTTTCCCCTCCCTTCCTCCTCCTCCTTTCCTTTCCTTTCCCCTCCCTTCCTTTCCCCTCCTCCTCCTTTCCCCTCCCTTCCTTCCTTTCTCCTCCTCCTCCTTCCTTCCCTCCCTCCCTCCTCCCCCTTCCTTCCCTCCCTCCTCCCCCCTTCCTTCCTTCCCTCCTTTTTTCCTCCTCCTCCTCCCTTCCTTCCTTCTCCTCCTCCGTTTCTAGTCTCTGATCATGTTTCATTGTAAACAACCAATCAGTGTTTAGACCAACAGGAGGAGAGCTAGTAACGTTAGCAGCACCGCTAACGGCTAACCAACAGGAGGAGAGCTAGTAACGTTAGCAGCACCGCTAACGGCTAACCAACAGGAGGTTCACTTCAGTTACACTATGATGCCTTCAGGCTCTGCTCAGTGAACATGAGTACTGGCTGAAGGTACATTATAACTTTATCATGATGTGTTCACATGTCATCTGTAAAATGTAGTTTTGGTGATGAACTTGAATAAATCCAGTAGTTTGAAGGAGATGTTTTCACATGAATATAAAATAGACATTAGAGATGAATGATGTTAACTTCTAACACGAGCTCTAAGCTCATTATTATACATCATTAATAATAATAATAATAATGAAGTATTATGATATTTAATTGAATGTATTATAATTATGAGCTGTTGAACTTCTGTAAGTTACCTTGAAGTTCGAGCTGAGACTCCTCCCTCCTCCTCTCCAGCTCCTTCCTGTCGTAGTTGAGCCTCCTCAGAGACATCACTCCACACTGGAAGCTGTTCCTGTTGCACCAACACAAACACAAACGTTCATTCACATCCCTGCTGGTCGCTCATCTCTTGTTACGTCGATGTTCATTCTTGAGTTTCACTGTTTTTGGACAACAATGGAGGTCACAGACTGTACTCGTGATGTGGGTCTCTTTAGATATCACCATGAAACTTCACCAGTTCATCACTCACATTAAGAGGAGTATTTATTGTATTACAAGTTTTCTGAAATGTAATGTTTAAACATGTAAATGAGGCGTTATCTAATGGAAACTTTTGGTGAATTTAGTAGAAATCTACAGACGTAAACAAACAAAGAAGTAAAATAAATGTTTTCTTTCCTCTAGTGTGCATTAAACACCATGTTTTCTCCCGTGGTGTCTGTGAGTAGTTACCTGTGGAAGCTGTCCACCATCTTGAGCTGCCCCCTCAGGTCCTTCTTGGTGAGGTGGTCCAGCATGCGGGCGTCCACCAGTGACTCCATGAAGTAGGAGCGGTACTGAGGTAAACCCAGGCTGGGCAGCCACTCGTTACCGATCCACTCGTGGTTCATGTCTCCGTACGCCAACGTCTACGGTCACACAACACATCACTGAACACGCATATGTGAGATCAATAGGAAGCTAATTATTACTCCAGGATATTGAACATGATGTCTTTCAGTTATCTAAACTTTTGACGGTTGATTAACAATTTTAAAAAGGTCGACGCACTGCAAAGATGATTCAATATGTATATAGAGTATAGTTAACTGTTCTAACATTAACTGTTGATGTAAAATATAATTATTACAGAAATATAAAGTATTCCAACTGTTACAGGTGCTTCACTATAATAATACATTTCCCTTTAAGTACATAAACATCACACTACTTGTGTTTTCTAAATCTTAAGGTATTAATATGAATCTTTAATCATTACATAACACAGACTGTGTTCCAGTGAGTCTACAATGCTGATTCATTTGGAAGGTTCTTACTGTACGAGTATCTGCTGTTTGTTTACTCTTCTGATGCTTTGAGGTGTTTTTACATTTATGCACGTTGTTTGCAGAGTTATGCTTCATCATAAGTTGGTCTCTGGTCACCTCTGTGGACGTTATGGAGAATAAGATCTTCTGACTGAGAGTCCCTCTGTCTCTGTATTGCTCTTCATGTAATCCAGTGAACACAGTCTACTGGTCGGGTTGTTTTTCTGCACTTCTTGTCATTATTCTTTGTTGTATTTTTCTAAATGATGATGGTTTAGGCTTTCTCTTGTTATGAGTCTGTTTTCCTCATTGAGTTTAGGGGAGGTCTGTTGTATAAGATTATTTTTTCATAATCTTGATTAATGACGACGTACGTGTGCAGATAATGAATAAACATCTCTTTCCTCATCTGAAGTGCACGGTGTGGACAGGACTAGATTGGGTCAATTCTTTAAAACCAGGTGTTTCTGGATAATGAGGATTATTTATTATAGTTAACAGTCGGGTCGAACCGCAATAGAGAGGCTTGACTTCTTCATTTATGCAAACTGTGCATGCTTTGCATCATCAGCGGTTCCTTCCTGTGCTTCACCGTAACGTCTTCTTAAGGTTGTGGAACCTTAAACGCATCAAACGTCATGTTTGTCTGTTAGTGGGACTCAACGTTCAAATGTTTCTGCTGTGAGCCGAACTAAACGGGTTAAACAGTCCCAACATGCTCGTTGTGAACAAACTGAGTGAAAAGTGATCTGGAAATAAATACGGAGGGAAAACTGTGACGTCTCCTCAAAGAGATGCTTAAAAACAATGAACAGTGAGTAAAAGCACGGTGTTGTTAAGAAGGTGGTGGGGGGG